CTTTGCCGCTGAGCTAAATCCCCAGCCCCCAAGATTTGTTATGAAATAATGTTTTTCTCTGTGGTAACCTTCTATATGGTTAATACAGCATTAGAGATGCAATATAACTTACAGCAGAAGAAAATAGTAGTAAAATGAGGAATGTTATTTGGGATTTGTTAAATGCTTAATCAGAATGGGAAAATAAAATATCTGTACTATTTCCAGGCAATAAATGAAGACTATTAGTAGCTAATGCTGTATAATCAAACTCAGGTAATAGATGGTTAAGTCTAGTCTTTGTGTACTTTATCAAAGTGAAATTTGGGCTGCTTAGTAAGTTATGACACTGCTGCTATTTGCAAAAAAGCCCACTAAGGTCAGAATTTTTAGAGTAATCACTTTAGACGCCTTTGCCTCATTTAGTGTTTGCAGAAAATGAAATTTTTGTTTTGTTTGTACACCAACATGCCTTGCTGCTTTTTGCTGTAACCTTTAATTTAGGAGAAGCTACCAGCTTAGCTACTGTTTGAATTATAGCTAGATAATAATTAACTTGCACAGAAAGTTAATCAACATTGGAAATTTAATTTATTTGGGGACATTTTGATATAGCATGAATTGGCACCACTGAATATTCTACTAGCTTCTATGCCTAATCTTAATTCCTTCTGGTGATAGAAAAAATAATTATGGAATGCTTCCTTTGATAGTATATGCATGTTTTTGTTTTAATGCATGTTTGTAGTTGGTTGTTAAGTGGCTTATCTTTACTTCTGTTTTATTTTAAGACGAGTTGAATTCCTGTTACTAAAGCAAGTTTATTGTTGATTTTTAGTGCAACATTTAACTGTCAGCGAATCAGCAGACAATTTGTTTCCAGAGCAGTCATCTTCCCTGAACTATTTGAGGCGGAAGAAAGAACGACCTTACATGTTAAATTTGAGTAGTACCGATTCACTGGGAGTACTTAGGCCAAGGCAGACTAGATTAGACAGTCCACTTAGCAATCGTTATGCGGGAGACTGGAGCAGCTGTGGAGAAAACTACTTTTTAAATACAAAAGAAAATTTAAGTGATGTGGACTATGATGATGTACCTGCAGAAGATAGAGAAAATGGAGATTACAGCAAAATGGATGGATCAGAAATAATGATCGAACAGCCAAGTCCCACATCCAGAGAATGCGCACTTCAGTCATACTTGACAGTGCAGACGATTGAGTCTACAGTGGACCGAAAAGTTAATCTCAAAGATCTACAAGAAAGTATTGATACTTTGATTGGCAATCTGGAACGCGAGCTCAACAAAAACAAGCTTAACATAAGTATTTGATACTGAGGAATTTTATCTGGTGTTTAATAATGTCTTAAAGTTTCAAATTACTCCTCATTTTCTTTTATTAACCTCCATTGGTGGTGTTTTTATTTTTTTAGTCCTGAAACCTTCAATTAGTTTCTAAAAATTCATATGATTCAATTAAAAACACTATTTAGTAACATAATTTTTACTTACTCATTAGAAAATTTTTCTAGGGGTAAAGGGAACCTGGACTGTTTGGAATATTTTAATAGGCCTTGCTACTTCTAGGGAGATAACTTTCTAATGCACTTAAAAGGTTCAGGTAAGTTATTAGCTTGAGTTTTTGTATTTTATAGGAACTGCTTTTCTGTAGCTGAGACAGATGCTCCCTTTAGTAATAAGTTGTTCCAGAGGAACATTGCAGCTGCTCAGTCTGGTCTGCAGTAGGAGTTCTTGTACACTGCAACATCATGTGGTCTCGTTTCATTTGCAATGCAAATGCTGCTATAAGAAAACCTTTTTATAAATAAAAGTAAAATTATACAAATATTAATGTATTCTATATTAACATTCAGTCATTATTTAAGCTTATACAAATTAAGTATTTTTATAATCCTGAAAATATGTATATATTTATAAGTGCATATATGTATAGGTATTAGAGTGAAAGAAAGGGTTGACTGTAGAATCACATGTATTTTTAAAGATATATGTCATGGCACCAAAGTTATTAACTAAAAATGTCTTTTTCAGAGAAGTGACATTTAAGTTAAAAGAAGATTTACATAAAAACTTTTGAATAAAAACACTCAAGAAGCACTGAATAGAAATAATAGACTTCCTTTTTGATTTATAGACAGTCGCAGTATTCCATGAAAAGTCATCTTTCTTTTAAGTGATGAAATCCTTCAATCTTTTAGTGATAAAGTGTCCACCTTTCTGCACTAGTAACTTAGATTTTAAAAACTTCAACTCTTCTATGCATTTTTGTATTCTGTGGTGTGTTGAATATTTATTTTAGTAGCACATTTATAATATTGATTTTATAATTACCCCCATTTGTTCCCAAAGAAATCTTGCCAACATACTACATGGTACTGATTTTTTAAAATTAACTTATTTGGGCTAAATGTATCTGTAAATTAGTTATCATAGATATCACAGCAGTGTTTGAAAATGTAAATTTAGAAGACTTTTTTAAATTGGAAATTTTTAAAAAGTTTTATACCTACAGAATTATGTAATTTTAAAATTATAAATAAAATTTGAATTACCAACTTTTAAGGTGTAACAGGCACTGACTTCATGTTTTTTTTTTAGTATGATAGTATTTAAGTATTTTTATGCAGCATACATTGGTAAGAACACTTTATTTTGAGAACCCATCCATAAAAAAACAACTGTTTTTATAAGAAATGTTAAAAGTTTTGTGTAATGACTTAGAATATAAAAAAAAAAGTGATAATTGTATGTGCTGAGAAACAGAAGACAGTACTGTTGGAGCTGTGCATAGTGGTGCATGCTTGTAATCCCAGGAGGATTACCGTAAATTCTAGGCTAGCCAGAGCTACATAGTGAGGCCCTGTCTCAAAAAAACAAAAATTTTTAATTGAACTGTTAAAAGTTTTGTGGGGAGACTGTCTCAGGTTTCTTTTGTTTATTGTATTATGCATATTATATGAATTGAATAAGTTGTTCCAGAAATATAAAAATTTTATTAAAAGATTATAATTTTAATGTCATGCTATTACTATAATTATTTTAAGGCTCTCTTAATAATCTTCTTAAACATATTCTCTATTAAAGTATGTGTAATAACATTTATTAATCCAAAATTGAATTTTCTAGAATCTGAAATGCTTTAAGGACCATACTTGTATTATTATGTTACTTTATTTTGGATGAGAATAGTTCTTAAAGTTAATCTCTGCCGATTTATTTATTTTTTATTTTTTTTTAATCTCTGCCGATTTAAACAGAGAATTCTGAACATTTTTTGTTGTCTGAGTCACTGAGTACTAGCTCTAAACCTCTGTTACTAACTCTGCTGCTTTCAGAAGTGCTGAAAAAGTTTAAATGTATGCATTTTAAGTGGCCTTTTACTTCAAATCTTTTTGAGTTTTTTTTTTTTTTTTCTCCAGTACCGGGAACCGAACTCACAACCTTGCACTTGCCAGGCAGGCGCTTTGGCGCTGAGCTAAATCCCCAGCCCCTCTTTGAGTTTTTAATACTTGCTTTTTGTAATTTCCTAGAATATCCCTACATAGACCATCAACCATCATTTCTTTCTGAGCAGCCAACTTAGATGTATAAGGATTAAAAAAGTTTTAACTTTAGTGCATGTACCTGAGTAAAAATTCTGAACGATTCAGACAGAAAATAAAAAGCATTCTTCTCTGCCATCCACAGTTCGTTTCTTAGATCTAACAGCATGTTTATTGGTGCTGTCCTAAGCAGGATTTGATTGCTCACCATGAATGCATTTTTGATTACCTTTATAATTTTAATAATCTTTATTTCTTTTTTGGGATACCGGGAATAGAACTCAGGACCTCCCACTTGCCAGGCAGGCACTGTACTGATGAGCTACATCCCCCCAAAGTTTTTTTTTTGTTTGTTTCTTTTTGTTTTTTTGTTTTGCATTTTTTTTTTTTTGAGACAGAGTCTCAAAACTGGCCTTGAGCTCACTTTTTAGCCCAAGCTGGTCTTGGACTCAGAACAATCCTCCTACCTTAGCCTACTGAGTGCTGGGATTGTAGGCATGTGCTACCATACCTGGCCAATAATCTTTATTTCTTGATTCATTGATTTTTAAACATTCTATTGTGACTCCCTACCATTGAGGAAATGGCCAGCTCTGTACTTTCAACTTGTAATCGTCTTCTGTAAATTATACTGTTTATATTATCACTGTTAGTAGATGTTTATTATTTTGGGGATCTGTACTTGACCTATATTTTCCCTTTATATATTGATTTCAAAAAACTGCAATCTATAACTAGTTGTTATGCTAGAATAAGTATTCACAGTAACCAGGTGACATCTCTTTCTGCATATCCAGTCTTTATATCTTTAAATCTGTGCTGACTTGAGCAAACTATTCAAGCATAAAGGAATGATTTTTTTTTTTCTTTCATAGCCATAATTCTTCAAATCATGCCATGAAGGCTAGGGATATAGTTCAGCGACACAGTGCCTTGCTTGGCAAGTGCAAAGTCCTGAATTCGATTCCCAGTAGCAAAAAACAGGACTGGGATATAGGTCAGAGGTGCAAGCACCAGCCTGGTAAGTGCACTCAAGTCCTAGTACCAAAAAAAAAATAAGATCCCCCAGTAACAAAAAAAAAACAAAAAACAAATCATGCCATGTGTTATTTGCTTCATAATTGGGTCAGGGCTTTTGCATATTTTATTTTTCCTGGAATATGTGGTTACAGATACTTAGACTTTTTTACTGATACATTGAATGACAAAATTTGTTCACAATGCTTTTAGTTCTCATTCTCTTATTTTTATATTTCTTTGCCAAACAAAAATATCTTCTACCCAGTGTAATCGTTGTCTTTGTTACTTTTCTTGTTGCGAGACAAAATACCCAACACCCAAAGTTAGAGGGGGAAAGGTTTATTTAGCTCACAGTTTGTAGGTGTTTCAGCCCATAGTTGGCTGATTCCAATGCAGGGTGTCTTCACAGAGGAGAGCAATTCATGGTAGGCAGAAAACATCAAAAGCAACAAGGGGCAAGAGACGAGTCTCTCTTCCCTTATATGTATCTAGTCTACTGGGATCATGGTGATGCCAGTCCAATCGCTCACCCTCAATCCCAGCGCCCTTAATCCCAGCATTGCACTATGAATCAGTTACACACTGTAGATTCAACGACCTCCAAAAAAACCCTGTGATGGCATGAGGCCTTGGAGGGATATCTAGACACAAACCATCACAATCATTTTATGCTGCTTAGTCAACTCTATAAAATACAGATTTTTAGTTCTTCTCTTGAGATGCATTTTTTCTGTAGTCCTATGGTTTACCTTGTCTTCAGATCCCACTCTTTATTGAACTTTTTAAAAATATATTTGCAAATACTCTTTTTTGGTCTCCTTAGGAAAGGTGCATGGGAAGTAAACTTTGAATCCTTGCAGATCTGACCAGGCCTTCTCCACCTTCATTTTGATTGGGTCTGCAGTCCTACATTGAAATTCATCCTTTAGAACTGTGAATGCATTTTACTGTTACCTTCAAGCACCAAGTTTTATAGTAATCTGTCAGAGAAGAAACAATAAAGGTAGTGAGAAATGATTGGATGATGGATACATTTTGAAGTAGAAGCCAAAAGAATCTGCCAGTGGACTGTGAGGAGCAAGTCCTAGCAGCTCAATAGTTGCCATCAAATGAGATTGAAATAACCTTTTCATATTTTAAAAATAAGTACCTTGTATTAGATGTTATAAATATAGTAGTTATTTAAATGTCTTAATAATGTTCTGCTGACTAGTAATACTAGTGCTTTTGTGCTTGGTGATGATCCTCTGACAGAGTGACTGTCAGAAGCAGGAAGACTACTTCATTGTTTGTCCAAGTAACATACACATAACTGTCTTTGGAAAATTTCAGGTATATAGCTTTATATTAGGGAATCTAAAGAAACAGATTTGGGTAGTGCTATGCTTCTGAAAAGAATTTTGCTTCTGGAGCAACGACAACTTTGAAAGTTACAATCCTGTAATTTAAAAAACATCAATTTTAGCTACTTTGATATGATATAGCTGTTTAACAAGTCCCAAGGACTTCAGTATAAGGAGAAATACTCTTGCCCTCTTCCCTATTTTTGGTTTTGAATTTTGTTTTTTTGAATCTATTAAGATTCATATTTGATGAGCTGTGAAGTGTTAAAGTCAGAGTTCTTGGTTGCATTCTGACTTAGCCAAAAACTGACTGGCTAACTCATGCAGATAAGCAAGGCTATTTTATGGTGCTGGCCCAGTTTTTCATCTTGGTCTAGGTAGTGCTTTCACTTAATATTTGTAGCTTTCATAAGTCATACTTCAATTTTTAAAAAAAAGTTTATTAAAAAGTACTGTCAAGCTGAAATAGATTTAGGAAATATAAACGGAAGTAGGCTGAGTGGTCAGAATGACAGCAGTCAAGATCGTGTCTGATGCCACTGCTACCACATAGCCCCATGGCCACTGTTGGAATTATTAGCAACCATCTCCGCTTCTCTTCATCATTCTTGCCTCAAGGCTCCTGCAGAAGCATCAGATTGTACTCCAGCCTCCAGGACTCAGAGAGCTTCTATTCTTTCCCTAAAACTTAAAACTGGTATATTCTGTGACTACAAGAAAGGAATTTGAAAAAAATAATGAAAGGAATTTGAATGCTGAGCAGATGAAACTAGAAAATGTCCATAACACTTCCCTAAATTCCATCTTGCCCTAGTGTCCCCAAATTGGAGTCTTTCCCACCCACCCCTGTATCTCACCTGTACGTCTAAGTGCTGTATGTCTTGAAACTGAACTTCAGTTTGTTACTGTTAGCACTGTAGCCCAAGCCACATCATGTTAATCTCTTTCTATTTCACCTTTGCCATTACTCTCCTTTTCATCCCCCCAGTCCAGTCTGTCCATGGAAAGTATAGTGGCCGTAGAAGCGACCAGATCATTTCCCAGACCTTTTCCTTTGCTGCCAGTGTTTTAGCAACCCTGGGAACCTCATCCCTGTGAGGGTCTTTGCTCTTGCCGTTTATTCCCTGTATCTGGAAAGCTCTCGATCCCATTGACTTAGGTAGCTCCTTTTAGTCAACCATCTCGGGGCAGATGGTGCTTCAAAGAAACTACTTCTGAAAGCCAGTCAGTACCTTACTCAGAATTGAGAGGAAGAAGGATATAGAGATTTCTGTTTCTTGTAATAAGTACTAAATACTTCCAGCACTATTTTATTAAACTTTAGACATTTTTAACTTTGATAAATGTTTGTGTTTATACCAAGTTTAAAAATAGAAATTTACAAACAGTGCCCACACCCACTGTCACTATCATGTCACCCTGGCATATTTTAATCAAGGTGTTCATCTGCAATTACCTTGCGTTATTTATTATTTGTATTCACCTCGCTAGACTGAAACCCCATGGAAGCAGAGACTACATATCTAGTTTATTGCTGTATGCCTAAGGAGTGTAGATAGAAGATCCTCAATTGTTAATGAATGAATTTAAAAGAGTATTTAGAGAATGGTTATCTTTTTTTATTAAGGACTAAGGACTGTAAGATGCAGATGTATTTTAGAAAAATAT